GTGGGCTTACTTTCCCATTGGTCAGTGGCCGTATGCCATTGAAACCAAAAGCGATCTAGATAAACGGAAGAGTGAGTCGCATCTTTTCTTTTTGAAGTTGAGCCACATTTGTCGAGTGGTGCCTTCTTCTTTTAATTTTCTTTTCGAATAAAGAGATTTAAGCAATAATTTATAGGAAAATAATGGATGCATGTTGAGAGAAGTTGACGTCAGTCAACTAATTAGAAGCTAACTTGTAAAGACCTTATCTGTATTCTATGCATATTCATTGTTATCATGGCTTCCTAATAATTAGAGTAAATAGTTATCAAAGGCAAGTTAAGACAAGAATTTGCAAGACAGAATGCCGTATATTGTATTGCTGCAAGCTCTGCTTGGAAAATGCTGCTGTGGTCTGTTAGCCTAGAATAAAAGTCCGAACGAGACGTTTCAAAGGCATTCCACTTTTGTTTGGAGCCATGTTTGTATATGAGCGAGGATATATCTTATAGGCCCTGGCCTAGGCACATTTGCAAATTTTTCATTTTAATTATGCTTTAGAACAGGTCCAGTTTCCAATGCAACTTCGAGAAAAGTACCACAAACTGGGGGAACTCAGACAAGCACCAGCAACTTTTGTTATACGATATTTGAAGGGAATGTATGAACTCTCGTTAAAGTCGTTGAGAAGTGATTAACCTACAGCAGGAATTTGTATAAAATTCGCTGGACAAAGGTAAGCTAAATGATTCAATCCCGCCAAAATGTCACCAGTCATATTGTTTTTGAGAGGCCCACGGACAAACCTTTGTTTTGTGAATGTTTCGCCATTGCAGGACCTAGGCTTGCACGTCGAGGGAGTATGACTCTAGCCGTTGGAAGAATAAAGATAAATCGCCACAAGAGAGTTGATTTACGTACGTATATTCTTTTCCAATTTTCTTTAGTTTTTTACGCGCTTCTGGGTTGTTAAATAAAATATTCAAATGCACGCTTTCGGGAAGAAATTACACTACGGATATTCATCTGAACAGCTAAATTCTCCGTAACCGCGTAAGCTTGTAAATTACAATGAAAAAAAGGGATTTCAACACAGGACTCAGTTTTATTGGTCATAAACACAGAGCTCGGAGTTATCGCTATAACTTTCGATCCGCGAAAAATATCTTCTTTTGAAGTAAGTAATTTTATATAGCGAAAATGTGTACACTTACTTTTGATGCTTAGTGCATGTAATTCTTTTTTTTTTTACCACTCACTACTTTTGATAGCACTTACAGAATGCTGCAACTTTCGCCAGTGCAGCAAACTTGACAACAGCAAAACCAACAAAGCAATGCCTCTGCACCGCAAGACAAGATGGTGGCTATGTCAAATCTATAAACCACCATCAGCTTCAGCGCTGAGGCGCACCAACTCGGCGTGTCTTCGGTCGACGTTGACTGGATTTGGCATCTTCGCAAAATTGCATAGCTTTAAATGACATACTATCTTTGCTCTTTCCAGCTAGCGATTACTTCTGCTGCTGCTTCTGAAGTTTTCGTGTTTTTATCTGCATGCTGGTGTTGTACAAAGTTGGCATTTCACTGCCAGGGCAGTCAAGTATTGAATGAAATTGTATGCATGCAAAGGCATTCATTCGCACGGATTTGCGGCACCTAAAGAGTGCCAACGCCAACGGAGCAATCGGGGGGCGGAAGGATATAAGGATGTAAGGAAAAGGAAAATAACAGCAGCAAAAGGGCTGCCAATACTTGTAAACGTTGTTGTTGCTGCCTTTAAAAAAGCATACTTCGACGTACTCGAGTTGATGATGCGAAGCGCAGAAGCTGTGTGTGGCAACATTTGCCAATGCAAAAATGCAATTTTGAACGTTTTTAATCTCAATGTGCTGCGCTCTGTAATATGTATTTTTTTGTTGTTATTTTGTCTGCTTTAAGTTTTTTGATTTCTCTCTTTTTAATCTTTTATTAATCCGCTTATTGTTTGCTTTGGAATTTTCGTAACAGATTTCTTTTGTGTATCTCCTGTTTTACGGTGTATTTTAGTTGCATGCAGTTTGTGAATCGGTGCACAAATACAGATACACATACACATGAGCACCACAACAACAACAGCGTGCTTTTAGTGCGCAGTCCACGCGGAAATGTACCACAGAAATTTATGATTATTCTTTTTTTTGTATTATTTTTTTGATATTTTTTTAAATTGTTTTGTTAAAATGTGGTCGAAAAAAAAAATACAAAACAGAAAAATGGAATTCCGAAAAATAAACAACACTGGCTTCCAACGCGTTTAGTTGGTCGGCTGAAAAAAAGGGAAAACTCCAACAAAGTGTAGTGTATGTGAGTATGTATGTAATCAAAAGGGGAACGGGGGTTTAGAATTCGACTCAAGGCATACATACATACATATGCATATAGTTAGAAGATAGGTATGCAATAGCGTTAAAAATAGTTACAGCAACACATTTAGTGGGTTGATTACAATATTTGGAATTATTTAAAAAATAGTTGAAGAGGAAGAAGAAGAGATAGCCGTATGCAATACAAATGCGGTGTTATGTAGAGTAGTTAATATAAGTATTCAGTAGTATATCTAGTAGTACCTACGAAAAAATACTTTATTTTGCTATGTGGAAAAAGTTAGGTTAGGGTGACGGGCATGTAAAGTGAACACATAAATATTTAAATACACATTTATTTAATGAAAAAAAAATCAGCAGTAATTATAAAACAAGACACAAATTTAAAAATTTAAAAAATAAAATATCTAATGCCAAAACAAATTGTTATTTGACTAAAGAGTTAAACAAAAAACCTGAAAAAGGTATAAAAGCTGCGTGGCTTTGCATTAAGGTCTATAGTATTACCAGAAAGAGGTGCGACTGTCATAATCGTCATATTATGGAAGAGCCTGAACAGGCCATCGAGATGAACCGTCTGTAAAAAAATCGAGTATAGCCTTGTGACTGTTTTTGGTTCTGGTTAAAAAAAAAATAGTTCGTTTTTGAAATGTACTGTCAACCAAACACATATTATTATAAGCATTCATTATTTTATTCTTTATTTTCATCTGTGGAACTATCATCGTTCAGTTCTATGACTGAACAAAATGAGAACAGAAAGCAGCAGTGAATTAAGTAAAAAAAATTTCAGAAACAAGCTATAGAAATTTAAAAACAGTAGGTGCGCGCGCTAAACTTTGTTGACGATTTTCGTTATTTCAATTTATGAAAACCGGCAAATTATATATCTCCTTTCATACTTGAACCGTTTGCTGAAAAAGAAAAACAAATTGGCCCTACTCGAGAATGTCAAGGGAACGTTTTTTTTTGGAAGTTTGCGACCCTTCCACTGGTAGCATAGGCAGGGGAAGGGGAGGGTGGCTGAATGGTATCCGTTCTGTAGAAGTTAATGATGTATAATATGGGATAAGTCCGGAAGACAAGGACTTTCTTCGTTCTGAAGCCAGTGAAATTTTAACTTATAAGAATGAAACAGTGTTTTTTTTTTCGTTCCGAAAACACAGAATTTTCCGAAGTTTTCAAAGCGTCAGCAAAAAATGCAGAAACTCTCGAAAAAATCCTGCAATGCGACCAGAATAAGAAAACAATTTTTGCATTTGGTAAAGTAATGATCCTCCGGGAATCTCCCTTCTCTAGGACAATTGTAAGAGATCCCGCGTCGAGCATTTAATATTCCCGTAGGAACTACAGGTAAGAAAATGAGTTAATTCCATTGATTACATGCCCATTAAGTATTATGCAGGCTCAGATAATTAAAGTTCTTAAATTATCCTTTTTTAATCGCTTGGCCCGTTTGGGTCAAATCTAGTATATACCAAAAATTTTTTTTTGGAATTTTGTGCAAAACTAAGTTTAAGCTTTCTACGTTGGAAAAAGCAAATAAAAAACAAACAAATTTAATGTAAGACCGTACTTTAAATCAGAGATAAAGTAAAGTGATTAAATCGATTAAAAATTAATATTCAAAAACTTTACAATTAAAATATAAAAAACCAAACATAACAAAAGTTACCATGACTTAATATTATTTGTACAACACCAACAAACGTGTTAATAAAAAGGATTTTTATAGACGCAAAAATGCAGGAGAGCTTTTGAAGGGAACACATAAACGAACACACTGACATGCACTGAGTGACTAAGTATGTATGTGTATGTGCCGGTGTATGTATCATATGTAAAGCAAACTAAACACAATTTGACTATCAGCTGACTGGCATTAGAAACAAATTATGCAGCATTTAAATTTATTGCGGCAGAAGGGGAAAACTAACAAGAAATATTGTAAGTAAGGTCAATAAGGGTATTCACAATAATACAAAATGCAAATATGTATGGCGAAAGCGATATAAAAAACAATTAAATACAGATTTAAAAAAAAACATTTTTTTTTTAACAAAAAACACTTAAGCAACTCGCCAATGTGAATACCCATTAAATAGTTATGAAAGGCTTTAGTGTTCAATTTTGTTAAACAACGAAACACAATTTGAAAATAAATTGATTTATAATGCGTGTCGCCGGTGGCCGGTGGCGTATGAGTAACTTTGTGTGTATGTAAATGAAAAGTCAGATGTCAACTCCTAGCGCGGTGGCGTTTAGTACAATGTAAGCCTTACCGTTCATTCGATACTACTGTGTAGCTGTACATAAAAATGCGTGCGTGTTCACTTGTCTGTATGTGTGTGTGTATGTGTATTTATATGTGTGTGTGCGTGTGTACACATGAGTCTTTCTACATGTTTTACAAACAATTTAATTACTCTCTCTCTCTCTCTCATTTTCCAGGAATAATTTAATTATTTTTTTTTTTGCATTTTCAATATAGACAAAATAATTAAATATTAACGCCTGGACCTTTGGTGAATATGTTTGTTGCCTTTCACAAAACGACTTACATTTGCATTGCAACTACATATACATTTAATCACCAGTCAGTGATATGAAAGCATTGGAAGTGATTGCAAGATTTTGAGGCTTTTTTCAAACTTACCTCCTGTGGTGGGACATCGTAGGTGCGCGTACGCAGGTCCACGCGGGCATACGAGTCAATGCAGGGCAAAATGAAGAAGATACCTGTGGAATGTGATAAATTTAAATTCAATTCAAGCATATTAAAAAGTCTTTTTAAAAAGAAATGAGTTCTAATTATGGTGCTTGGATTTTTAAATTTGAATTTGGTTTTATTTTTGTATTTTTTTCAACTTTCTGTAACTTTCGTTGATTTTTTTTTTATAAATCTGAAATAGCAATTATTTTTGATTTTTATCTAAATAATCTGCAAATAACAGTAATTTTTTGATTTTTCTATTTTATGTTTTAGATAACAGTTATCAAAAACTTTTATTTATAAAAGTCATCAATTAAAATAAGTCAGTGACTTTTACTTTTAAATCTTTACATCTCCGTCTTCGCTTACGTAAAACTATTCGTATTCGTTTTCGCTTTCGTATAACTATTCGCTTAAATTTTCACATTCGCCGCCGGATTCTCCTTCGTATTCGCGTTTGTCTACGGTTGCTCTGCGTATTAGTTTTCGGATTCGTCAAAAATTTAGATGTCACGACATATATTAATAACTCGATAAAATCGAATATTTCGATAGCTAACTAAATTCTGATATCTTTCGATAACTCGATACACCATGGTAACTCGATTAAATTCGATATATAATGATAACTCGATAAAGTTATATTACCCAAGAACTTTTGATAAATCGATATACTTTGAAAATTCAAAGAACTTCGTTTCCGTAAACCGTCAAATTCCGCCAACTACCAAAATATTTCGATAAATCAGTAAATATCGATGGTTCGATAAGGCGAAAGAACTCGATATATTATGATAACTCCATATATTTTGTTAATTCGATAAACTTCGATAGCTCATAAAATTTCGCAGTTTTTATATATATTGATAATTCAATAAATATCAATAACTTAACAAATTTCATTAACTCGACAAATTTTCGAAAGTTCAATAAATTTTTGTAACTCGACAAATATCGGTAAATTTATGCTTTCATAAATTTCAATAACTCAATAAACATTGATTGATTGATTAATTGATTGAATAACGCGATACATTCCGATAACCCAATAATCATGGATAGCCCGATAAATTTCGACAACTATAAACTTCGATGACTCGATAAATTTGGATAACTTTGGATAACTAAATATTTGATGACTGGATATATTTCGTTTTTTTTTTATCGAAAAATTTCAATAAATTTTCTTATTTACATATTTGTGTTTCTCATTGTTTTCATTTCCGTCTTTATCTAAATTTTTGCCTTCACCTTCTTATCTTTTATTAATACATATATAGATTCTCCTACAACTGGTGAGATTGATATATTTATGTAGATGCACACCTAGATCTAAGGTGAGCTAACTCAAAATTTAAAGAGGGAAACTTAACTGCTTGCGAATCGTACAGATTCAACGCAATTAATACAAAAACAGATATAACAGTAGTCTTTTAGTTAATGTATATAATTATGAAGAAAAAAATAGTTCCATTTATTGGATGTAAGTGCTATGAATTTATTTATGCAAAAAAGTCGCCCAAATTTTTTTTTGAGTTGATCACACTTTAGATCTGGGTGTGCGACGTGTCTTTGGTGAAGAAAGAAATGACTGCATCAATAGAAAAATTCGTTATTTTTCTGATATGGATCCGACCGCGATAGCCACCGAGTAACGAATTCTGAGAGAATCCGGAAATATTTAAAAACTTTTCCGCCATAATGGATCCGCCATTTTAAATTAAAAAGAGCGATTTCAGAAAGAAATTAATAAGTATATTCGCCTTCTCGCGAAAAGGGCGTCGCAGTGAAGACGCAATTGATTGCAATTTAGGGCAGAGCTCTGTGTCGTTCGATGTGAATCGTCCCATATGTATGCACTGTAACCATCATATACGTATGCAATTTATGTTAATTATATGGCCACTTTAAAATGCATAACAATGCACAGTTTTGTACAATTAAAGTTAATTAGACAAAGAAGTGTTAAATAAATGCTGGTGACATCCTTAGCTTTCTGGCGACCTTTCTTTGCAAAAAAATTGCCATTTCACATTTGACACTAAAATGTGCGCAATTTATGCTTTTGTGGCCAATTGAGCACAACAACTTTGTTGCACCGTCCGTCCCCCCTACGACCTCCTTGTAGCGACACTAACACCAAAACACCAAGCAGGAGGCTGAACTAACAAGGACGCGAAAACGAAACACAACAGTGCGAACACCGCTGAAGAAATATGTACATGGCGCGGCTACAACAACAGCAGCAACAATAGCAGCAAAGAGTGCGACAACGACAACGACAACGACAGCTACAGCGAGAACAAGAACGCTTAACAACACAAAAGACTCTGAGAATAAACGCAACGCGCGTACGATGGCAATGCCAAATGCTAAGCATACATACAGTGACTCACTAGTGTTCACGTGTTGACTTATTTTTTATATACATTTAGAATGTTTTTAAAGATAAATTTTGTTTTCGTTGTTTTTCTATACAAATATTGTCCAAGCTTTTGCCAAAACCAAATAAATCAGAGTTTTAAACTTCATACAAAATTTAGGAAATTTCAAAATTCCAAGCTGTTTAATCTGAATCTTTACAGCAGTTTCGTGCATGTAGTATACATACAATTTCAGTCTCATGAATTGCAAGTTTCAAGCTGGTAAAAACGCGTTGATTTTTAATAATTCTTTTTGTGGTGACTACGTTTTCATTTTTTTATACCCGAGCGCACTTGTGCACAAGGGTATATTAATTTTGTTCACATAACGGTTGTTTGTAACAGCCAAAACGAATCGAGATAGATATAGACAAATGTATACATAAATGATCAG